TTCCCGTGGAAGGATTGGGCGGGGCCAGCCGCACTGCCTCCTGCATCGGGGACCCAGGCCAGCGACCAGGCCGTGCTGGCAACGCCCCCTGCTCCTGCACAGACTACGCGGCGGGTACGAGCTCTGGGGGCTCCGCAGCCCCTCCATCCCTGCCCGCTCAGCCTCTGCCCTCTGTCTGCAGCTCGGCCCGGCGCTGCCCGCCTCGCCGGCCCGCGCCGGAATGGGGTAGGGACAGCGCCACCGAGTCGGGCGATGGGCCGCCCTCTGGGCACGGAGCAGCCCCCCGAGGCCTGACGGACCGCAGGGACTGGCGGAGGTGGGTGTGGGCAGGGCAGACCGCGCACTGGGGGCGCCAGGGTGATGTGGGGGCGGGAGCCGGGTGGGAGCCCTGGCTAGCTGCTGCCTACCTTGCGTCCTGGGCAATCCCAGATCCCCCACAACTCCTGCAATTCCCAGGAGCCCCGCCTGGATGTCAAACGGATGCCCCAGTGCCCCCCACGGCTGGACTCAGTGGGGACCATGGCTTCGCTGATGCCCCTCTCCCCCTACCTAAGCCCCACGGTCCTCCTGCTGGTCAGCTGTGACCTGGGCTTTGTGCGAGCAGGTGAGTAAGGAGGAGCAGGGGTGGCGGTCAGCCAGAGCTAGTTTGTGGGTGAAACCTGTTAACCTGTTAACCTCCTGGCACCTGCAGACCGGCCTCCCTCTCCTGTGAATGTGACGGTCACTCACCTCAGAGCCAACTCGGCCACTGTGTCCTGGGACGTCCCAGAAGGCAACATCGTCATTGGCTACTCCATTTCCCAGCAAGTATGAATCACCCTTCTGCCCCCAACCTGTGTCCTTGGCTCTCTGAACATTCCTTCAGCTGCTTCACCCCTCTCAATTCTCCTCCCAGACGTGGGGGAATCTGGGCGCGCGTGTTCCTGGCTCGAGCTGCCCTTACCATCCTACTCCCTTGGAGTGCTTGGATGTTCCAGAGTCCTGGGTTGAGCCTGGTGACAGGGACTGGAGTGAGGCTGTCCTCCTCTCCCATCATCTCCCCACAGCGGCAGAATGGCCCCGGGCAGCGTGTGATCCGGGAAGTGAACACCACCACCCGGGCCTGTGCCCTCTGGGGCCTGGCTGAAGACAGTGACTACACGGTACAGGTCCGGAGCATTGGCCTTCGTGGAGAGAGTCCTCCAGGGCCACGGGTGCACTTCCGAACTCTCAAGGGTTCTGACCGGCTACCCTCAAACAGCTCAAGCCCAGGTGAGGGTCCATGCTACTGGATGCTCTGGCTTTCTGCCTGACTTTTAGCTTCTTATTTACTTTCCTAAGGCAAGCAACAGTCTTGCTTAGATGAATAGAAGGATGATTTAATTCATTGTACTGCCAGGAAAGGAAGGAAAAGCAGGTGGGCAGGGGCCCCAGTAGAGACAAGCTGGTTTGGGGGAAGGGCTTTCAAGCTTCCTCTTACCCAATTGCATTTCACATCCGCTGCAGCCTCTGCATGAATGAGTACCTGACCTGCGGCCCTCCTGCTTTTTGATCTCAAATCACCTGTTCACCAGTGGCTTCCTCCCAGAGAGGGGCTACCTTCCAGCTCCAGGAACAACACTATGAAGCATTTACCCTGACCATAATCCCCAGGATCTCCGACCTGCATATGTCAGCATAGACATAACTCCCTAGCTGTACTCCAGTGACCTGGGGTCTATCCCCTCCCTTCTCAGGTGACATCACAGTGGAGGGTCTCGATGGAGAGCGACCACTGCAGACGGGGGAAGTGGTCATCATCGTGGTGGTGTTGCTTATGTGGGCTGGTGAGTAAGCAGCTGGACTGGGGGCCGGGGCTTAGGGAATGGGCTCAGTGAAGGTGGGAGATGGTGAAGGTTGTCAAGAGAGAGAAAAGGAGTGGAGGTTCTTGGTTGAGGAGGGATGATTAGGAGAAGATTGAAGAGAGGGACAGGAGGCTGTTGGAATCCCAGAGAGGATGACTGTCTGGGCATCAGGAATTCAAGGATCTTCTTCTTGGTTTTTCCAGAAGCTGTGTGTATATCTCACTCCCCTCCAAGACGGAGTGGGGAAGCTGAGACCAAGGCTCAGATTGTATTGTTGTGTTTCAGCGGTAATTGGGCTGTTCTGCCGTCAATATGACATCATCAAAGACAACGACTCCAACAACAACCCCAAGGAGAAGGGGAAGGGGCCGGAACAGAGTCCTCAGGGAAGGCCAGTGGGGACAAGACAGGTGATGTGGGGCCAGGGAGGGTGGGAAGGGTGATTTTGCCTCTGATAAGCAGCAAGGGATAAGGTCGAAGAGGAGCAGGAAAAGAGGGAGCATGGAAGATCTGGGATGGAGGAGGCTGGAGAGAAAGGGTGATGCCTATAACTTCCTCAAATGCGGGACTCAAGTCATTTTCTTTCACAGAAAAAGTCACCATCCATCAACACCATCGACGTTTGAGTGAAGAAACAGAACGAGAAGAGAGATGCACTAATGATCTGGGGATGGGGATGGGGTCAGAGGGAGCCTAAAAAGGGTGACCAGCCCCAGACTAAAGGATCCCACAGTCTCCCAGAGGATAATGATACGCCCACAACTTCAGGCCTGGTCCCCATCCTCTTTCCACTGTGAGCAGGGCCAGAAGGTAGGTCTGTTAGAGTCTGTGCCCCTGGACCTGGGGAGTGGCTAGCAGATGGGATGTCTCCTCCCATCCCCCAGGCCCAGAGGAGTGTCACTCGTCCAACCCTATCCCATTAGGTCCCAACTGGGGGTCCCATTTCACTCACATCAGGACTCTTGGCGTCCTCAATTGCCCCCACATCTTGCCTCTAGGCCACAGAGAGGAGTGTTTCTGTGGGTACTTCCTTTCTCCCAACAAACAGAAGGAATTGCTTGGGCCTAGAGGCAGATGCTGCATTGCACTACTCCAATGTCTTCCATGGAGCCTCAGGTGCTCCCCTTCTCACGGCGGCCCCTCCAGCTGCTGGTGGTTCCACCCCTTGGACATTTTTCCAATAAAGGTTCTTGGACAAACTGGAGCTGACTACATGAGATACTGTGTAGTATGCTGAAGACTTCTCCCTGCCTTGTCTCCCTTGGGACTCTCAAAGGGCCCCTCTACCACTAACAACCTGACCGGAGCTGATTCTTACTGTATGGAGTTTGCGTTGATTCTCCAGCCTGGAATAAGGGAAGAGGTACCCGGAAGAAGGGGCATAGAAAATCAGTTCCTTTTGCTTTGTTGGGTGAGAAAGGGGAAAATAAGAAAGATATGAGTTCTTCCTGCACCGGTGGAAACTAAGTTATGTCACATGAAAGGGCCAGAAGTCTTTATGGTTCACTGCTTACGTAGGTGGCCCCGCTCCTCACCACTTTCTTCTGAGTCCCCCACTAACCATAGGCTGATGGTCAGTAAAGGACTGAGTGTTGGGAATTCACACAAGAGCAGATACACTAACGGGCCCCTCAGCGCCACATGCTACCCTGTGCATTCCTGTGCCTATTCTTCCCTTTGCTTTGCCTTTTCTGTCTGTCTCTATGTCTGCTCAGTCAGCTGAAGTCAATAATAACTATAAAGGATAAATGAGTTTATATTCACATTCTGCCATCATAGCCAGAGGAGGATTCTGAAAATCAAAGTGAGGGTAACTGTGAAAAGAATTGTATCTGTCAAAATAATTATAACTTGGATTCTGGAGTCTACTTACTTCCTGTGAAAACAGGGGTTGTCCTCTACTTTTTCCTAATTTCCAAGGGGGAATTAGTGGTAGTGAGAAAAATACCTGCTGACATTCGTAACCACCATGAGGGAAAAGGCTTTGGAACCTAGGATCTGTCTGGAGAGTATATGCAACACTCTCTGAAGGATTAAAGGTCTTCCCAATTTTGGCTTATTCCAGAGACGGCTTATGAATAACTCCTTTTCTAAAATTTGATCTCCCTGATATGTTACAAGAAAAAAAGAGGAAGAAAGAAAGAAAAGAAAATCAGACCAAAAATAATGTAAGGGACACCAATCTAAACAAAAGTCTGGAAGTTAGTATCTTTTCTATTGCACTTAACCAAGCTCCAGGCCCAGGGATTTCAAGGTTCACCTTTGGGGTGAGCCAAGCTCTGGTCTGTGGTCCAGCCTGAACCATAAAGGCATCCGGATCCAAGCAGGAGTCTTTAACCTAGATTATATTGTTCCGAAGTGAGGCGCTTTACATTTTCCTGGACACTGACTCCAAAACACTCATCTCTCAGACTCAGGAAACATCATGACTGGGATGGGAGTGTCATAAGATATGAAGAGAGCATGGAGCCATTTAACTGAGAAGAAATACAGAGGGTGTTTAAATCCTCCAACTTCGGGTTGGATCCCATAGCCATCCTTTACTGGTTGTGTTAGTTTGGGCGCATGGTACCGCTAATCCTGTCAAATCAAACTAATAATAATGCTATCCCTTTCAAAGGGTGGTTTTGATGTTAAACGTTCAACACTTTGCATAATACCTGGTAGACGCATACTGAGAATTCACTATTAGTTGTCTTTGTCAGCCTTGTGATCCTGTGCAAGTCACATAACCTATTGGCTTAAATTCTGTCAGTTGCAAAAGGTCTATCATAGCAGCTATTCTGCTTTCTCCCCAGGGTTGTAAGGATTAAATGAGAATACTCTCAGCCACGTATCCACTCATCAAAGAGCGAGAAAAGACTACCGTTAGGATTACGCTGCGGCAGGAGTTTGCCGAAGGCTTGTGGGCGGGGCTTGGACTTGGGTTTGCATTCCGCAACGAGATTGGTCGAGGAGAGGATTCATCAAGCTCTCTCGAGGTCCCGCCTTAGACCTCATTGCGCTTGCGCACGTTCTGTTTGCTTCGCCGCAAATCTACGTAGTGACCTTAGGACGTGTGCTGCGCTCCGGTCGCATTTGCGTCAACGGCTGTCGCTGCGGCTGCGTGGCGGGTTGTCCAGGTAACCGCAGGCGTTGTCGCTGTCTGGTAGCATCTGAGACACAGGTGTGCGTCATGCAGTTGAAGCACCTGAGGACCCTGCTGAGCCCTCAGGTGAGGAGTTGCGTGCCTCTTCCCTCCCCTTCCCGCTTGACCTTCCAGGGAAAGTGAGGGAACTGAAGTTTAGTACTGTTGAGCCCCTACTGTGTGCGGAAGACCGAGTGGTGTTCCGGACTCTGCTCCATCCATCCATGCCGTGTCCAGTAGGCGAGAAAAGCTGCTAACAACTGTAGCTTCACGACGTTTCATTATCTTGTGTGTACCAGGCGCCGCGCTGGGCTCCACGGGATCCCAAACCACCCGGGTTATTCCCCTTGCCCTCAGGAGACCCATAGCCCAGGGAGAGGGAGCGGCGCGCGGGTGAACCACGAACAGAGAAGTCTTTAGGCGCAAGCCCAGTGGAGGAAGTGCAGACGAATGGGACGTTCACTCTGACGGCCACCCTCTGTAGATCCTCGATGAAAAAAAGGGTAGGGTTTAGAGTTAGGAAACCGGGATTTAAACCTTAGTTCCACCACTACTTTAACCAAATGACCTGGCGTCTCCAGCGTTCGTCCTCATCACACAACCTCTCACCAGCTTCTTCCTTTGACAAATGGAAATACTAGTAACAATCTCAGGGATTTAGGGGGAAGAATTCAATGAAGTCATGCACACAAAAGAGCATTTGTAAACTAAAAAGTAATGTGAAAATTTGGCCAGCCAGTGGCGTGGTGGTTAGGGCGACTGGATCCCACGTGGCCAACAGTTTGAGTCCCTGACCCTGAGACTTGAAAGACAAGCCAGGTGCCTGTGTGCCCAAAATTCAGAGAGGAGATTGGAGAAGGGATTCTAGCGTGGCCAGTCCCCTTAGTGAGTGTTTTCTCTCTTTCTGGAGAGCACAGAAAAGCTTTTTTTAAAAAAGGGGGAAAAACGTAATGTGAAAACTCAGAATTCAAAGAACAGGGCAGAATAATGCAAAGCTAGTAAGAATATGTTCTAGGAGCTGGCAGGTGGCATGGTGGTTAAGAGAGCTGGACTCCCACGTGGGCCACCACGATTGAGTCCTGGACCTGGTGGCTTGCTTTCTCCCTTTCTGTCTCTCTCATTCTCTCTTACTCTGTCCCTCCCTGGTCAAATAAAAATAAATAAATTTACTTTAATTAAATAATTTTTATATAAAAAAGAATATATTCTGTAACTGAATATTTAATATGCAGTAGAACAGCATAACCGAAGAAGTTAGGATACTGGTTCATGGAATCATATATAGATTTTTTAAAAATAATATTTTTTTAATTTAACTTTATTTATTTATTTATTTTAATTTGACCAGAGAGGAGCAGAGTGAGAGAGAGAGAGACAGAGAGGGAAAATGAGAAAGCAAGCCACTAGGTTTGGGATTCAAACCGTATTCGGCCATGTGGGAGTCACGCTGGCCCAGGAATCATATATAGATTTAAACCTTGGTTCTACCACTTACAAACTGTGTATATAAACTTGGACAAATAGCCTTTTCATGGTTCAGTATTCCTACCTGTGAAAGGCGGGTAATAGCATCTACCTCAGAGTTATGAGAAAATGCATGTCAAGCACTTAATAAAATGCCTAGTCTAGGGACCCGCAGAAAGTGTAATGTTTATATCACTGGATGACCAAGGTTTGAGTCCCAGGCCTCAAGACTTGAAAAGCTGGGTGCATTTGCATGAGAGCCTAGGGTCCTGAGAGGAGAATGGGGGAGAAAGGATTGCAGCGTTGCCATCCCTTCTGGAGGGTGATTTCTCACTTTCTGTCTCTCTGTCTTTCTCTGTCTCTCTGGTGTAGCAAAAATCTCTCTGAAAAAAAGAAAAGTTTAGTCTATGGTAAGTGCTCATTCAGGATTAATTATTATTCCATTCCCTATCTCACTGAATCCTCACAACAGTCCAGGGAGATACTTACTGTAGAGAAAGGAGAATTCATTGATTGTGGAAATCAGGAAAGCATCACAGAGGATGTGGCATTTGAAGAATAGAAGGAAATTAGAACAAAAACACGTGGTGCTCATTGCCTAGTAAGCTGCCCCTGAGTCTGTCATTTAAAAATTCCTATGCCCTAATGGAAAAATTGGAAATGAAATTTTCCTTCAATGTCTAACAAAACGATGATGTCATGATGAAGGAGGGCTGAATGCCCAGGACTGGGCAAAGCAGAGAAGCAGGATGACCAGCAACGGTTGATGAGAAGCCTTTCTAACCTAATATAACAAAGAACCGGAGGCTGATAATGGCGGAGTAGCTATTTTCTGGGATTAGTTTGAGGATTTTGGTGAAAAGAGACTTTACTTCTGACTTTGGAGGTAGATGGGTTAAGAGTGAAGAGTGACAATATTTTTTTCTTTTTTTGGAGAGGTTTTCTCTATAGGGTACGTGCACTCGCCAGAGAGACAGAGAGACAGAAAGTGAGAAATCACCCCCTGGGGGGTTGGCCACACCACAACCCCTTCTCCTCCGTTCTCCTCTTGAGATCTTGGGCACGCACACACATGCGCCCGGTGTCAGTTTAAGCCACTGGGTCAAGGACTTGAACCGTGGTCGACTACATGGGAGTCCAGTGACATAGCCATTATGCCATCTGCTGGTCCCAAGTGACTATTTTTAAGAATTATTTTATTTCATTTATTGTCATTATTATTTGTTTAATTTGACCAGAGAGAAAGAGAACGTAGGAAAGCAAGCCTCCAGGTCCAGGACTTGAACCATGGTCAGCCATGTGGGAGTCTAGCACCCTAACCACCACGCGACCTGCCAGCCCCACATGACAGTATTTTAAGCCAGAGCCCTACAGCTCCAGTAATAAACAGTTGGAACAGAAACTAAATTGTATTGTATTTCAAGGTGAGAAACCCTATGTGGCAGAAGCAAGGAGAACTAGAATTAGTGGTAAAAGAAATCTAATAATTAATAATTATAGTAATTCATCAGAAGTGTTGATCCCAGAGATGAGGCAATGCACAGAGGAAGCTAGATCCCACATGGCTGACCAGAGTTTGAGTCTTGGCCCCAGTGGCTTGAAAACACACCAGG